AGCGTGAACCGCAGGGGGGACAGAAGTGACGTCATACAGAAAGAGACACAGTAAACTGAAGGGAGGACCTGTCTCTGGTCACAGGCACTTCTAGTTCCGGTCGGACCACGGAGCCCTGGAGTCCTGACTGCCTCCAGCTTCCAGGGATTCTGCCTGACGTTTACCCTACACCTCCACTCTTCTCAGCTACCCGGGATTTGTCATCTCCCCAAACCATCAGCTCCACACGGGAAGGACTCCTGCAAGACACAGTAACGGTCTACTGTTGGGCTTGTTTTACCTTGTAGATCATTAAACTTCTTTTCCATACTGCACTCAGAAGGCGCCTCTCTGTTTCCTTTTCCTTTGCATGGCCCTGACAGCCTACTGCAATGGCATCACTTGCAAGGGGTTGCACAGACTGCTTGTGTATCCCAGTGCTGGTAAACACGGCCCTCCACAGGTGTACAGCCATATATGAACAAGGCCTTAGTGAGGAGGCAGGATCTCATTAAGACCACTCTGACCTGACAGTTGCCCATTACCTGAAGTCTCTTTGACAGAGATTTCTTCAATCAACAACTTTCTATTTCTCACCAATGGCAGTTTGTGTAAATGTCAGCAGAGAGAGCTTTGTGCCATTGGGAATTAGCCCTGGTTCACACCTGTGCAGGCCATGCGGGCTGCATTTGCACAGGCATGGCAGCCCCTTCATTTGAACGGGCTGTCGTGCCTGCATTTTCCGCAAAAACAAGTTGCATGTGCTTTTTTAAAAAACACAGCCATGAGAAAATTGCATAGTCTTTTTGACCATGCGATTTCCCATGCTGCAGGCTCAGATGAGTGGGATTGCCATTCAGAATGAGTGGGATTGCCATGGCAGCCCAGCACGTCTCATACAAACAGCATTTCCTGCACCTACAACCAGACTACACAGTGTGAACCAATGCTTATACCCAATACCTGATGATGAACATCTCTGTGCATGAGCTGGGGAGAGTGGGCACCAACCAACAAGATGATAGCACCAAAAACATACAACATAGAATGTACTGTCTATCTTATTATTATTGTGTTGATTTGAGAGCCATCTGCTGGTTGTTTGCAGGCAATTACAATATATTTCTTTTCAGAAAGAAAACAGGTAGTGTTTTGTATTTGTGAATAGAGTTTCACCCTCACATCAGTTCAGAGCCATCTAAGCTTCCAGAAGCAAATCTCCTATTTTTCCCTTTGATACACATATGCTCGTAAGTCTATTTATTGTTTGTACAATTCATGGAATATTTGGATTACACTGCTATTTATGTGCTGTGGGATTTGAAAGTGGGATGTCTGCAAAAGAAATACGTTTATTGTATACATTTGTAAGAAACAAGTATAAAAGCATATTGTAACCTCAGTTTATGTGATTGTATTGCAGTTTTTTGCAGAACTATTCACAGACGTAAATTCAGTTTTGGAATAAAATGGTGCTTCTGTTAGTTTTGTTAGCTTGCAGTCAGTTCAGAGTTAGTGGAACAGCATACAGAACAAAAAGACAACCAACAAACAAATTGAAGTTAAAGCTTAAAGTGGACCTTCACCTTCTTTTAAAGTTCCTGCCTCCTCCCCTTTATTAAGTAATTTGTTTTATAACATTCCATACTCCTAGGCAATGATGTGGTAACCGGAACTCCACAGGTCGCTCCCAGATCTATTGTAGCTTTTCAGCTCTGGCACACTGCTCAACCATCCAGAGCAGTGTGATTACAGTGAAACACACACATACCGCCCCCTAGTAAAAACACTCCCAGCACACAGTTAACTCTTTGATCGCCCCTCATGCTAACTCTTTTTTGCCCAGTACCATTAGTACAGTGTCAGTGCATTTTTAGCACTGATCACTGTATTAGTGTCACTGGGGATGTTAGTGGCACCAAGTCAGTTCCCCTCCAGTGTCAGAATGTCCGCCGCAGTCCCACAGTCCCACTATAAATTGCTGATGGCCGACATGGCTAATAAAAATAATTTTTTAAAAAGAAAAACCCAGTATATATACCGCCATTTGAAAACGTTATAACTCTCATATAAACCAATAAATTTACACGTATTGGGTTTTTTTTTAGCAATACGCAAAAATACAGAATACATTTTGATGTAAATACATGTCACGGAATACATTTTGGCCTAAATTTATGATGAAATTTGATTTTTTCCAATTTTTTTACTGGACATGTTTAATAGCAAAAAGTTAAAAAATATTGTTTTTTTCTCAAAATTGTTGGTCTATTTTTTCTATAGCGCAAAAAAATAAAAAATGCTCAGGTGATCGTGCAATTGTCAGTTAAAGTAACGCAGCGCAGTAATGCAAAAAATGGCCTGGTCAGGAAGGGCAAGTGGTTAAAGTAAAGCAAAAACGCATACTTTTGTTAATATTTTGAGAAAGTAATGGAGAATTATAGCCCCTGTCAGTTTTGTTTTTGCCATCTGTATACCATTTGGGAGATTTCCTTTCACTTCCTGTCCCATGGATAAAAACAGGAAGTGAGAGGAAATCCCTCCAAATTAAGGGAATCCCTTACTGTCACCAGAACTAGTGTTCCCATTAGAAGATTTTCCCTCACACTACCCAAAACTAGAAAAAATGTTTTTAGGTATATTTTACCAGTTTATAGTAATTAAAGGAACAGTTCAAAACAAAGGCATCAAATGAAAAACATACATAAAAATTCATACTACATTTGTAAATATTTTTTTAGGTGAAATTATCATCTAGTGCTGAAAATGTGTTGCTGCCCCCAAAGCAAATATGGTGCTTCTTATAAGATGAAACCTAATGTACCACCGACCTTTGAAACACTTGGATATGCAACAGTTCACTAACTAAACTAGTAACATATTTTACTGCTTGCTGTGATATTAATCAGTCTTCTCCTTGTCCAGAGTAAAATCCCCAGATAATAATAATGCACTTTGGGCAAAGCTGAATAATTCTCTTTGGTGCCTATACACAACAGCATGGTGTAGAAATGCCAAGGTTTTCAAGATTTAGCTCTGTAAAACCCCATTGATTTCCCATTGCTAAAGGAAGAACAAATAGAAATGAATATGCAAAATGAAATTATTTGAAGTGAAGTGAGTAATGCAGCCCTAGGGCACAAAGTATGTTACTGGCAGAATCACTAGGTGAAAATAAAGAAAAACATTACTGAAAAAAGAAAGCTAACACAGCCACCACATCTAAAGGCTGATAAGCTGCAATTTCTATATATACAGGGGCGGACTGACCATTTGGAAACTCGGGCACTGCCCGAGGGTCCGGGGTCAGTAGGGGACCCCATGAGATGCCCCTGGTACCTTTTTCATAGGCTCTTTTGAGTTTGGGCAAGGACACAGGGGCCCCATGATCCCCTATTGCCCGGGGTCCCCATGAGTTGTCACAGTCCGCCCCTGTATATATATGTTTTTTTTTGCTCTATGAATATGTTTAATTGGTAATTTTTATGATCATATATTCTCTATAACAGCACACTTAAGAGAGTGAGCCACATACCCATAAAGGGAAAAACGTGAGTCATTTAAACTTGTAGCTTAAATTCCTCAGTGAGTACAAGACCTATACAAGATCATCAGGGAACAGAGAGGGATATAAAAAAGCTTGTTACATGAGGGTAGATTATCATATTTTCTTTTACAATTAATTTTATTGTAGAATAGGTAACATCAGAGAAACAGTCAGGAACAGAAGCACTGACCAACAGAAATAAAACGTACAAGTTTTCTGATGAATAATACAGTGAATGCATTGATATATAGACAAGGAAACAAACTTAGTACACAAGCGCAATATATGAAGAGGGAAAATAAAACACAATAACTTGCAAAAATGGTAGACAATTAGAGACCAATGAGTTAATAAACTAAGAGCAAAGATTATCACAAAAATCCGCATACAGAAGGCAGGAAAGATAGAACAAGGAGCCTCGCTGGATGCACATTGGTACTCTATACTCAGGACTCCCGAGGAAGTCCAACAGGTCGATATAGTATTGCTGGTACGGTACTTAAAACATAAATTACAATCAGCGCAAATATCATGAAAACAGACTGAGCAGAAAAAAGAAAGAGAGGAACGAATAAAAAAGAGACAAAAGACAAAGAAAGGACTCCAAGGGATCTCGATGGAAGAAGAAAAATATAAATAAATCTTATATCAACAAAAGGGTCTGCTCAAATCTCGACGGTTGGGCTATATCAAGCCAGGGACGCCAGGTCTGCAGAAACTTTGTGTGGGTGTCTAACAGCATAGCTGTCAGTTTCTCATTAACCATTATAAAATTCATCCGATTTTTGACTGCTTCGAAGCTGAGGAGGGGGGTGTTCAAAGCCCTCGCGATCGTTAGTTTGGTAGCCATGAATAGATGTGATGCCAGCTGCCACTCAGGGCAAAGTAGGCCCACTAATAGTTTAACCACTAGCCTACAGGGCACTTATACCCCCTTCCTGCCCAGGCCAATTTCCAGCTTTCACCGCTGTCGCACTTTGAATGACAATTGCGCGATCAAACAACACTGTACCCATATGAAATTTTTATAATTTTTCTTGTGACAGATAGAGCTTTATTTTGGTGGTATTTAATCACCTCTGGGTTTTTTTTTTCTTAAACCAAAAACCACTGAAAATGTTGAAAAAAAACATGTTTTTTCTTAGTTTTTGTTATAAAACTGATGTGTGCTAATGAGGCTGCACTGATGGACACTGATAGGCTGCACTGATGGACACTGATAGGTGGCACTGATGGGCACTGATGAGGAGGAACTGGTAGGTGGCACTGATGGGCATTGACAGGCATCACTGATGGGCACTGAAAGGCAGCACTGATACATGGCACTGATAGGCGGCACTGACTGGCACTAATAGGCGGAGCTGACTGGCACTGTTAGACGGCACTGACTGGCACTGTTAGGCGGAACTGACAGGCACTGATAGGCGGCACTGATGCGCACTGATAGGCGGCACTGACTGGCACTGATAGGTGGCACTGATTGGCAGCACTGATAGGTGGCACTGATTGGCATTGATAGGTGGCATTGACTGGCACTGATGGGTGACACTGAAAGGCAGCTCAGATGGGCACTGATATGTGGCATTGATATGTGGCACTGATGTGGCACTGATGGGCACTGGCAAGAGGCACTGATGAGCACTGACATAAGGCACTAATGGACACTGACAGGTGGCGCTGCTGGGGCTACACTGATCATCAGGGCACACTGATCATCAATGCCCTGATGATCAGTGTACATGTCCCCTCCGTGGAAAGCCGATTACCGGCTCTCCTCTCCTTTCGAGCTGTCAGCATGACAGCTCGAGAGGAGAGAAATGCCAATAATCGGCATTTTACTATTTACATGTGATCAGCTGTGATTGGACACAGCTAATCACATGACCGAGCCGACATCTTCAGCTCTTTCCGTGATTGGTGATCCGCTGTGTCCGAGGGACACAGCGCACCGCCGATCGCCGCACGCTCCCTGAGCCGCGCATGGGCAGTGAGAGAATGGGAGGGCATCATATGACGTCCTTCCAGAACGAGAGAACCACCTTGCGCCTGTCATATTACTATATGGCAGGCGGGAGGTGGTTAAATAATAGCGCCTCATACGGGTTGCGCTTAATGTTTGTGTGAAACATAGTGCGAAGAAGGGCATAAACCCTGATCCATAGTCTGCAAACCTTGGGGCAAGTCCACCAAATATCTCTGTACTAGAATGTGCAATCTTTAAAGTGATAAATACTGAGCAAGATACAAATACAATATTAATATTCAGTCCCAACATGTAAATAATTGGTGCAATGGTGCTGTATCTTTAACGGTGACATTCCATACTGAAATGACAAGTGCTTCACTGTGTTCACACTGTTACTGTCCCTGGGACTCCCTAATGGGGGACCTTGATGTCAGAGGTCAGAGGAGAATGGGTAGACTGGTTAAAGATGATAGAAAGGCAACAGTAACTCATGTCAATATGGATCAAGATCTCTGAGGAATGTTTCCAACACCTTGTTAGATCTATGCCATAAAGAATTGAGGAAAAAGGGGGTCCAACCCTGGAACTAGGAATGTGTACCTAATAAAGTGGCCAGTGAGTGTATAGTCTTATTTTTTGAGTAAATACCCTTTTTAATGCATGCTAGTAGTCTTCTAGCTTTGCTTGCTGCTGCTTGGTATTGCATGCTATTGCTGATCTTGTGATCTACAAGGACCCCCAGGTGTTTGGGAAAAATCATACATATTGTAATAAATCCTGTTTAATACGTCTGGGATTTTATTCTAATAGCAGGTCTTCATAAAATGTTAGTGGCTTTTAAACAAAATTACTTAGAGGGATATTAAAGGCAATTTAAAAAAGTAACAAACAAGTCATACTTACCTTCTCTGTGCAGTGGTTTTGCACAGAACAGCCCTGAACCTCAACTTCTCGGGTCCCCCACAGCACTCCTGGCCCCTCCTTGCTGCCAAGTGCCCCCCCAAGAAAGCGGCTTGCTGTGCGGGCACGCAAAGAGGGATCGCTCCTGAGCCACTGCCCCTCTTGTCCAATCACCACACACAGAGCCCCCTCTCTCCTCATTGGCTCACTGGCTGTGATTGACAGCAGCAGGAGCCAATGACTCCTTCTACTGTCCAAGCCAATGAGGAGGGAGAGTCCACGGAGAGCTGAGGCTCTTGTACATATCGTTGGATTGTGATGGTGCTCAGGCAGGCTTTGGCGAGGCTGGGGCGGGCTTCTGCACACAGGTTTTTTGTACCTTCATGCATGGAATGCATGAAGGTAAAAAACCTTGAGCCTTTACAACCACTTTTACTAAATGATGGCAAAAAGGAATGTTATGATGAACAATTTCCATATGAACATTGGAATGAAAATCTTCACATTTGTGGCCACCTTAAGACATTGCGGGTCTTTTGTTTATACAAATTTTGAATATATTTAGCTGAAAATGTAACTGGGATTTAATAGTAAGGACAAAATCCTATCAGAGAAATAACATCAGAGATGAAAGCTTTGTAGCTTATTTACATTGCACCAAGTTATTAACTTCTTTGAGGTCTGCCTCCTCCCGGGCCTGTGTACATAGGCATTCATAAATTGGAAATTCATCTGAAGCATGGGTTTTGAAACATCTTGGCTCACTGCTGTGAATATCAATGGACAGGGAAGGGTTCAGTTGCATCTTTTTATTTCTGCTTTCAGGTTGCATTTGAATTTTATAAAGGCAGCCTGTCAAAGACAATCCACAACAGGTCCTTAATTCATTTGCTGTCAATGGAGAATCATTGAAAAGCACAGCAAATACAGTTGACATATTTTAAGTGCATTTGCATCACTCGTTTTAAAAAGGTAACTGGAAATGACTTTGTTATTAAAAAAATAAAACGTAAAGCGGAGTTCCGCTCACCCTGTCAAAAAATAAGTCAGCAGCTACAAAAACTGTAGCTGCTGACTTTTAAAAAACAGCCACTCACCTGTCCCTTGGTCCCTCGGTGTGTCCCCCGCAGCCCATTTCACCGGCCGTCCTGTATTCCAGGAGGCCAGCATCTTCAGTGTGGACACCCGGCTGTGACAGCTTGCGGCTTCACAGCCGAGTACCCACTGCATATGCGCGAGTAGCGCTGCACTTCATGAATGGTCCTGTAGTTTTCTGGGACCTGTCACATGTCCCAAAAGACTACAGGGAGGGAGGGAGGGGGGACACCTTCCGCTTCTATTCGTCTAGGCAATCGGACCAGAAGTGGAAGCGGGTGCCTGTCAAATTTGGGCACCTGCCCCCCCCCCCTCCAAAGGGTGCCAATCCTTAATGGGGAGCGGGGGAGCAGTCCTTAAAGCGGAACTTCCCCTTTCGGGTGGAGCTACGCTTTAAAGTGGTTGTAAACCCCTGAAATGAATAATGAACAAAACATATCCTTCTATAGTGTGTACTTGCCTCAATCTAGAGCCCTTAGTGTGGATTCTGTCTGCTGTCTCCATCCTCTGCTATCTGCATGAGTGTTACCTCTGAGTTTTTCCTAAACACAAGGCAAACCTGGGAGATGACATGTTCCCCTCCAGCACACAGAAGGTGATTGACAGCCTCAACTGTGCATATTTCCCTATTAGACTCTGTAGGGTTCTGTGTCCATTCCCTCCACTCAGGTCTCAGATTACACTGAGCTCTCTGCTCTGTGCTATGCAGTGTGTGACAACAGAGCCCTGCAAGTTGATAAATACCATCTGATCTGTGTACTTTGAACTCTGGAGAAGAGAAGGCTGCAGGTAAACAGATACAACTTATGTAGGAGGATTTGCTTCATCACTGTGTATCATTTGAGGCTAGACACTTCAGTGGGCTTTTGTAAGGGTTTATTATCACTTTAATTTAACATAATACAGCTTTTAACAAATGCATTTTGTTTTTTTAAGCTCCTCTGAGATGCAATTTTAAACACATCCAAATACATGTCAGGAGACCCCAGGGCCTATGCGCCTAACCTTTAGATGCAACATTTCTGCAGACATTTGAAACAAATGTGTCTTTACTTTTGTCTCATTTCTCACTTTAAAGAACAATCAAACTTTCACAATGCAGTATATATGTGCACTTGATGCTGCAGCCAGTGAAATATTGCTAGTATGTTGGGTCATCAATTGTGAAAATAAATTGTTGGTCTTCAGGCACGACCTGGCTCTGTGGTTGCCTCCATCTTGGCTGTAAGCAGGCTATTTCTAGCCACCACTAGAGGGTGCTATCTGCAGACAGGAGACCTAGTTGGCAAAGAGAGGAATGTTCATTCCGCATCCAAGGAGCAGATTTTTCAGAAAGGAAGTAGTCAGAACTAGGAGGTTCAAGGCAATTCTGCAGTATTTTGTTTTTCAGGAAAGGTAACCCAGACTGCTGAGAAAAGTATATGATTTTTATTTAAAATAGATAAATGTAATGTAATTTTATATAATTATGTAATTTTTAGTGGCCATGCGTAGGGCTGTATTTAGATATCATGACCTCAGCGTGCCTGAATCATCAATGCTATACAGAGAAAGTAAAGGAAAGACAGTTGGATGTTCCCCGAGCTATAGGACTTTTCCCATCATCACCCAGCACCACGTTTCCTTCAACAGTTGTATTACTGAATTTAGTTAGAAATGTCCCAAGGTGGGGGGGGGGGCACAATAATTCAATACAGAATGTACATTCTGATCCTTGGCTCTGCCTCTCCAACCTTGCTACCATCAGCACAAACACACGTGGCATTATGGTAAATACAGACCTGATCATGCAGTTATATTTTAAATAGGTGCATCTTGCAGACCAGGGGGAGAGCAAATTTTTAAAACAGCAGTCTGGGATTTCTACGCCATTCCTGCTCTTGCTCTCCTTGCTGCACTGTACATTGCTTGTGTAGTGATGTGTGTGAGTGCTGTGCAATGCAGTGCAATAATATTTTGAGTTCAGGCCAGTGTGATGATGCCACCTCAGTAGGTGGGTACATGACAGCCTGGGCTCAGAAGAAATTAGCTAAATGGCACTGGCAGTAATTCAACATGGAAGACCGAGGACATCTAGTGGCGAAAAAGACGTTATGTGGGGGGCAGCACCAGATTGAAGTAAGTATTGCCACCACAGCTGTTTTTTTAATTTTAAGTCTACTGGACTATCAATTTCTTTTTTTTTTTCTTTCTTTTCCAATAGTTTTTATTCTTTCCCAATAAAAATGGGTATACAAAACATAATGAGGCTTACACATGAATACAACTGTCTCCCTTACACGGAAAAAGAAAGAAAGAAATACAGAATATATTATATGAAAAGGAAGGAAAGGCAAATGCCAATCAAATTTCCTAGCTTAGATTTCAGACAATAACATAGAAATCAGCCTATGTAGCTTCAAATGTAGCCGACGAGTACAAAATCTGCAGACAGAGTGACAGCAAGTGAATGAGACCTTACTGGCCCCTTAATTGTTATTTTTGGCTGGAATTCTGCTTTAAACTGTCACAATTCCTTACCAAAGACTTTGCAAGTCCCCTCCACAAAGCAGTTCTTATCTCAGATACATGGGCATGCCTTGCAATGAACTCGTAAATGTTTATGTACACTAAATATTTCAAAATCTTGGTCTGATTTCCTTTGATGCAAGCATTTTGCCAGTATTACCATAAATATACTTACAAGAAACACGAAAAGACAGTTAACACACTCACACAGGATGGCTGAAAACAAAGAGCACTTCTAAAATGATCAATAGCTACTACTAACCCTGGTCAATCAGTGAATAATATTTGTTCTAAAGGATTATCATGACATTCTAATTCTGTCTCTGCACTTGTTAATGAAAGTTTGAGCCTAAAATATGTCTAAAATGTAAACAATTTACACTTCTAAGTAAAAGTAG